ATCTGGATCCATGGGGCTTGATCAGGTTTGGATCTGCCAGGCCTGATCCAATTTGGGTCTAAAACGGCGTTACACATTTGATCAGGACCTGATCAATTCACATGATCACAGTTTGATCCTACGTCAGGGCTGACCTGATCAAATCCTGATCAAAATTTCCACTCGGAATGATATGTCCCAATACTAGCCTAGTCACAGTAATCAATCAGCAGACAGATGGAGATGATTCGTAGAAGGGTTTCTGGTGGAAAACGCGAAAATTTATCGTTTTTATTTTCTTTAAATGTGTTGCAGGTGGAAACTTGGAATTTTTGCTTTGAAAATGTAGACAATTGAGGCTAGAATCACGGCAATTTTCGTCAAAGTGGTAGAAAAATCTGTGTGTATAAGAATGATTTTGTCAAAGAAAGAAGTGTCGATTAGAAATATTATTTAGCAATAAAAAATGAAATAAAAAATTTTTCCTTCAATTCTGAGATGTTGATTTTTCAGTATTTTTTCAGATTTTTAAATAGCTTTTAAGTACGCAAAAAATAATAAAATTGAAAAAAACTGTTTTTCAGTCATGAAAATTCAGGGAATCAATACAATGGTCTGAAATTTTACACAGAATTGTTGTTTTAGAGTCATACTTCGCAAAGACCAGGGCTAGTGATGCCGCGATACAGTCCACGAGACATCACGAGACAATACTTTGGAGAGATTGTCTCGGTATCAGTGAACACGGATATTTTTGGTCTCGTCTCAGTCGATGACTCCGAGTCAATTTATCTCATCTTAGTTTCCAGTTTTTCGCGATTTTTATATGTAGAAAACCGAGACTTGACAAACCGAGACAAAAATCGAGATTTTACATTAAAAAACACGAAAATCTTGAGACCGGGATGAGATAAATCGACTCGGAGTGATCACGAGAGTTGTCGATACTGCCTATTTGGAGACTAAGATGAGAGCAAAGCTTTTCATGTTCAATGAGACCGAGATCATCTCTCAAAAGTTTTGTCTCGTAAAGTGTCTCGCGGCATCACTCACCAGACCTCATGCATCGTCGAATGATACTTCCAAAGGCCGCGGTCTGCCTTGTTTGGATGTTGAATGGAAAAAAGATGAAAATAATTTTAACAGTTCAGATTGTCTTTTTAATAACAATAATATATTCTGAGTAATTATGCCGGATTGTACAGTAGACACGAATATTTAGCGGACTGTATTTTAGTTGAAGTGGGAACTGTAACTGACTGGAAAATTGGGAAGTCGCAGCTTTTATGTGCGTGGAACCTGGAGAAAATTTGGAGGTTCTCTATAATTGGTCGTTGGGCGGTGGAAGGGATCACGAGTTGAAAGAGTGCTAGGATTGGACGAAAAATGAAGGGAAGGAGATCGCTGAGCGGGAAGCGCTGTGATTGGTTCGGCGCTGTAGATTTTTGGACACGTTAGGATGGAGGAGAAAGGGGAAGTTTGGGACTCAGAAGTGTCGATGTAGGTCACGACACCTACATCCCTGGGTTCCTGGGGTGCTGACGACAAACTGTCGGGACTAGGGATTAGATTATTGCACGGGATTAGCAATATTCGAATATTATGGGTCGTTTATGAGGCCCGGTGCAAACTCGAAGTGATTAAATGAGTATAGAGGAACAATTGATGGGGAACTACGCGAGGAAATGAAGGTTGAGGAACAATTGGCGGGGAAATACGCGAGACATGAATTTTAAAGGACAATTGGCAAGGAAATACGCAAAGCAATAAAGGTTGGGAATGGTTGGTGGGAAACGACCGAAGAGGAGACAAATTATTTTGTGGATTTGGGAAATCGTGAAACAAGCAGCTGCAGTAAATATTATTAAAAATAAGGAAAGAAATAAATTCGACTGTTTCATGGAACTATTGCTCACGAATCAACACCTCGCAAACTTCAAAATCGTAACAGTCATGCCTCACGAGGACCAAACGTTGCGCGGGTTGTCTCTATTATCAGGGCGATTGATCGGTTTGTAGATCAATCCTTTTGGATGAAGGGCCTGAATCATTCGCAAAGAAAAGAGAATCCTTGTTTCAAGGGAAATCACCTTGATTTAAATGATATCACTTGTACTAGCATTCAGAGGTTGTCTTCCATCCAATGCCCGAGAATTAAAATAGTTTTAGATGGTCAATTACTCCGAATTTGGTGAGTTTTAAAAATTGCCAAATATTGTTTTTTTTGCTTCAGTATATGAAATAACATTTGCCACAATCGCATTATCAGTTCACGAAATATCAAAGATTTTTAACAGACTCAAGAATAACAAAATCAGGAATCAGAAAATCCGAAATACCTCAGGAACTAATGATATGGCTTCAACGAATTTCATATCTATTATGAGCATGAAAGTTATCTTGAAAATGACCTTAAATTCATCCAAGGTTACTCAGCTAATCTCGGTTTATGAGCAATCAAAAATGATCTACTAGCCGTTTCAAGAGTATTGAATACCCTGGTAGGAGATGGGAAAAGGCTCAGGGTAGGCCGACGATGGCCCGGTGCTGGTCAGTATTGGGCCAGCCTTGGTCAATCTTGGCCCATTCCTCATCTCCTACCTGTGTAGTTTGTGAACGTCAATCAGTCGAGATTTGATGAATTCTCTCCAAGATTAGAATTTTTTGTTGTGCTCTAGAACGAAATGCCATCTGTTGAAATCGCACTATCAGTTCATAAAATATCAAAATTGCATCATTATCCAATTAACTCCAGGACTAGAATCACCGTTTCGCTTGCAAATGACGAAAGCTAACATTAAACCCCACAACGAGTCGATTCCTCTCACACAATCAACCCCCTCTACCCACCTAAATCCAATGACAATATGACTCTCAACCTCTTATTTACTTTTTCCCCCCAGCGATGAAAATTTATTTTATCACATATTAGCAGGATAAACCCGTCTGATGGAACCAGCGGTCGAAATCCAGGTACAGAAAGCCGTGGAACGCACAAAGGTTGCCAAACCAGTGAGAGTGGGGTTAGTTCACGGACCACGTTCTTTTAATGGCCACAGCGACGACGCCAAAGTGGTCCAAGGGATTTCCCAAGCCGAGCAATTAAGGTGTTTACTGAGCAAACGGTTTTTCTTCCATGGACGTGAGTCTTTCCCCTCCCCTTCCCACTTTGCTCTTCAACCGGGCTCCTTCCTGTTATCTACACTTCTTTGCTCTGACCAAGGAGCTCCCGAAAGTGAAGCGGGTGAGTACGCGTTTTATTGGCTAGTGGATAGATCGTTATGTCGATATATCCCGTCGAGGATAAGTGGAAGATGGCTAGAGTTAGGAGTTCGTCATTGAGAAGTTAATTGGGTTCTCTCGGAAATCAAGAGGGTTAGAGGAAATATTGAAATATCGGAGTCATTGGAGCGTATCGCGGAGCATCGATACGGCAGTGCGTGTAATTGGAGAAATTATTAGTGAGTTTTTTCATGAAGAACGAACGTAAGTAGAGACGGGCTGAGAGAGGATATTGGTATGGAAGTGTGGAGAAATGAACTCTCTTTGATTGTGAATATCTCGAGATTGACACAGGGAGACGAGTAGGGAAGTTAATTTCAATCGACTTCCCATAAATGTGTAAGTATTTTTATAAGCTTTGACGTGAGACTACAAAAGATTTTTGGGAAGTACGTCTTTACTTGTATCAAGAAGCTCATGGCTGGGGAATTGATAAGAAGAGAATATTTCACACTGAGAACAGAAACCAGGACTCTATCCTTGAAAAGCATTAAAAGTTGTTCTGAAACATCTCGCATGCTTCCCATTTTTCATCATTTGCATCTTTTCCGAGAGAAGGAACTTTCAAATTTCATTTTAATTAATCTCAATCAATACCTTCCTTGTTCCATTTTTTAAAATTCTTGTTGCTTAGCAATTATAACATTCCTGATAGAAAGTGAACTCTCCGGCCGTACTGATCACCATCGCTATCAATCACCCGCCAAATCAGAAATACCACATATCACCCCCTCCCACCTCCATTCAATTACAAAATTTCCATAAATGAGCCGTCATCATACTCCCACTTCCCTAATTATGAGCTTACATTTCTCCCACAGCTATCGCTACAATCTCCCCGCCTCTACCTGGAAATCGATTTCCCAAGATACATATCCCGTCTCCCCTGGTTACAATCAATTTCCACCAGTTCAGTTCAACTATTGATACACCAAACGCCGTTTCTCCCTGTCCCTCCGAAAATTGAGTAATAGCTTACCTGATCGATTTATAATCGGATACGAATGACTGGTCGCATGCTAGTATCCCACCCAGTCTTGCTGTATCGTAGCACAAACAAGTTAGCTTGTTGGTCACTGGTGTTGGGACAAAGTCAGGTAATAGAAGGATGTTGAAGGGAATGGGAGGACAGTTGGAATGGTTGATGGAGTTCCTCTGTGGACGAGTGAATTGAAACGTTGGATGAACGAAAATAAACGAGGACAGAAGATCGATTCGCCATCTAGTGACTAGTTTGATCGATCAGCTATTCGAGTACGAATCTGACGTCCTATACCCCACTCCCTTATCTATTCTAGTTTCCCTGCTCTCTTTATCCAATGAGGGGTACCTTCTACAAACAACAAACAACTCAGCTCATGTTCACGACCCTCACGGGAGCTGCGAACGACGCCCCGCTATAACCTAGTCTTGTTGATCGATCGGTTGCTCCGGAGCGATCTGTAATCGTGGCAACAAGAGGTGATTTCAAATTACATTCCATGCACACAGTTGCTAGGAAGTGGGAGAAGGACCAGAAGGGGTGGGTGGTGAAAGGAGGAGGCACCTCTAATCCAGCCCTCGTAGAATCGATTCGACAAGTGAATCGTAGGTTAGGACCCACCCGTGGACCATCGTGTGTAATCTAATTAGAGTTGGACCATGTAAACTTTGAGTTAATATCATTGGCTTGAGATGCACGACAGGTTGAGAAAGGATGCACTCAAACTGGGTTTTACTTGAGTACAAAATCGACTTACCTGGGGCTCATCGCGGAGAAGTTTGTGATGGTGTTCGCTTGTGTCCAGGGAGCGCTTGTGGATGTGATGATGAGTGAAGAGGTAGTAGTTCTTCAGGGCACCAATCTGCAACAAGAATGATGAATTTTGTAAAAATATTAATATTTGTATAAGGTATTGATGGGTTGGTAATTGCAGATTAATTAAGTCCGAGAGATCGGGGAGACAAGATTTCTTAGATTATTCAGACGCTCGTCTCGAGTTGGGGTAATAATATCTTCCTTAAGGTAAGTGTGAATGGGATGACCCGAGGAGCAAGTGGCTCAGTGGCTCAGGCTTCAGCCAGCCCTATTCTCATGGTCGATATTAGGCTAAAATAAGGGTGATTCACAAGGTCATCTACGAGGCTCAATTCAGGCCTAGTTCAAGCCTTAAGCATTAAGACTGACGAGGAACACTACGCAGGTGTCCCCCTCCGATTTCGATGAAACTTAAATATGTTATAGGGGACCCAAAACTAAGGGACACGTATTTTTTTTTAGCTGCCCATATTGGGTTTTAGGGGGTGAAAGTGCTCTCTGAAGTTGACCACCTCTCGGGGTCATTTTTCGATTGCACACATAAGGAAGTTTTTTGAACAACTCTTTCGCAGTGTATCATTCTGCATGAAGGTCACAAGGAATGATGAAAATGCGAATTAGAACCGTCTCCGGGGGTGAAATATGGAGGGTAAACTACGGTGACACGTCTAAACTCCATGGCGTCATTTCAGCACAACACGTCAATTCAACATTTTCATTTTCTACCAAAACTATTTCATCATTCGGTTTTTTCATCATGTTCAATTTCAACATCAATTTATTTGAACATATCATTTTATTTTTCACAAAAAACACATCTAAGTATATTATTAAGTGCACGTGGTTATATACATTTGATCAGCGCGAGTGAGTATATTCCATGGGTTTATCATTTGGGTTGGGTTGGTTTGGTTTGTTTTTTCGTATTGGTGTCTACATATTTATATTTCAAATGTATATGGGTTGGATGCTATGAAGATAGCTGGGAGTTTTATTGTCTTTTCCTTTGGATGCCCAATGGTGATATTTTCGATGTGTTTGTTGACATCCAGACTATATGTAATGGTGTTTTTGTTTGATTTGTATTGATTATTATGCATGTTTAAATTGTGTTGTGATGAGTTTGATTGTGTTGACTTTGTTGGTGTTGAATTTGTTGTGTGTTGAAATGTCGTATGTTGAATTGAGGTGTTGAGTTTGTTTTGTGAGATCTAGAAAAAAAACTTTTGATGGAAATCTCATGGGATAAATTCCATTGGAAAAAGTAGAAAAAAATACAGAATACCGGTTTTGATTTTTTTTTAATCGAAATTTAAAACTTAAAAAAATAGATTTTTCGTGAATTGCGAAATTTCAAACTTTTTCCTGTACAAAACGAAGCTTACGGCTAATGATGAAGAAAACCATTGGGACAGGATCCAGGAGTGGTGTCGGGGAGGTTAACTACCCTTGGAAGGGGGGGGGGGATTTTTTTTAATAAGAGAGAAAAAATATCGATGAGAATTTTACGAATCACATTTCGTTCGAAAGCATGAGACAATTTAAAGCACATATTTAGGATTTTTTCCGCAAATTAGAATTTTAAGGTAAGAAACATCGATTCTTTGAAAAATTATGGGTTTCAAATTATTTGTTATAATAGACTGATCTTACATAAATAGTTTCTCTCATCATTAGCCGTAAGCTTCGTTTTGTACAGGAAAAAGTTAGAAATTTCGCAATTCACGAAAAATCTATTTTTTAAGTTTTATATTTCGATTGAAAAAAAAACAAAACAGGTATTCTGTATTTTTTTCTATTTTTTCAAATGGAATTTATCCCATGGGATTTCCATCAAAATTTTTTTTTCTATGAGAAAAATGAATTTTCACAAGGGTAGTTTACCCTCCATATTTCACCCTCCGAAGACGGTTCTAATTCGCATTTTTATCATTCCTCGTGACCTTCATGATACACTGCAAAGGTCTGCAAGGGCGAACCACACTTGAATCTTGAGGTNTGTGAAAGAGTTGTTCAAAAAGCTTCCTTATATGTGCAATCGAAAAATGACCCCGAGAGGTGGTCTGTCTCTCCCCTTCATGGTGAAATCCCTTTAAAACCACATAATTCTATCATCTTCCTATCCTACATGTGGCCCATGATTCGAAAGAACCTCAATTTTTCACTCCAATGAAACCTCCAAATTTTTTGACATTTTATTCGTTTGTTTGGTTCCAATTACTTTTCCATTGTTTTTCATGTACGGCACCCCCCGCGGATTTAGGAGCACGAAGTCCCGCGCCCTGGTCATCAATTAATGATGGTGAAAACGTTGTATCCCTTCTACAAAGATAGTCATAAATATCCGTCACACCATCCAAGCCAAGTCTAAACTAGGCTTGCGGCAGGCCTTTGAGCACGAGGTTGCATAATTGTAATTATCCTCATCTGGAATTAATTGAGTAATGGATTTTGAACTCATTAATATATCGAATCTCTTTTTTTATTCAATTTGTAAGTTTTATTCATGGATAAATAAAAGAACACCACGTTGCATTTTTATACTCGAGAAAAATATCTCGTCGTAAGAAGTTTCAGATGGCCTAGTGGAAATGCGCTGGACTACGGATCAGAAGAACCCTGGATCGAATCCTACCGACTAGGAGCAATTTTTCGAATGTTCAATTTCATTGTATTTCAATTGTAGGTGTGCGGATAATGATTCAGTACAAATAATTGATAAAAATTAATAATGATGATAATTATTCAAATCCATTGTTAATGAATCAATCATTACAATTAACGCTTATGGAGTTATCGACCATTACTAACGGTCCTATTCCAGTCTTTTTATAGAGTTCTTCAAATCGACGAAAAGGCTGATGAAAGAATCAGAAATCATTCAAAGAAATACCTGTAAATAATAATATAATTGGTTAGAAAGAAGCGCGATTGAGTCTTTAAAATTTCTTAATTTAAGGCCTGGATCAGACTTTGGCATCAAATTTGTTCGAGCCTTAGCAATTAAGTCTCAATCTTAGGTTATCATTTTGGGTCTGAATGAGTGCTGATTCAAGCTTGGATTCCAACCCTGATTGAGAATTTTCGAATTTTGGTTCAGGGCTTGATGAGCCTGGTTTCCATCGTCAATTCCTACCTGGGGCGTTCATAAATAATTTGGAGTCGAATCTGAATTGTAAAAAATACGATATGGTTACGAATTCTTGATTATTTCATGTGGGAACGAGATAAATTTATAGTTGCGGGGCGCTGTTGAGTGCCCATACTTGGGATTATAGGTATATATTCTAAATCTAACATTTGCATTCTGGATGACATTTTGATAATTCGTCCAGATCACATTTTAGAAATACCGACCGAAAAGCTAGTGTGATGTAAGATAACTTGAAAAAATGAATAAACTTTTCGGTATTTTGAAGCTGAGATTTAAATTGCTTCAATTTTATATCGCAGACTTTTGACGTATATTCTGCGATTAATTATTCATACACAGAAAAAAAAATTAATTCTGCCAATCAAGTTTACACAAACCCAATGAGGGAAATTTCTCCCATCAAATTCTTCTCTGAAACAAAATTTATTAACAGAGGTTTATTATGTCAGAGGAATACTTGGGCAGTCTGACGGCTTCAAGTTTGGATAATTCATTCCACCTGGTAATGGAAACTCGTCCAAAAGTTGAGGTCATAACGACATTTCGGAATAGCTACATGTTTCAAATTAATTTTCTTGCTAGGTGACGGTTTGGAGATTTGATGCAAGGTGTCAATGGTGACGGCTGTCGAGTATTGTTAGACTCAAATGGAAAATCCATGGATGAATTAACATTCTTTATTCTAGACGATTTAAAAACATCTCTATCGAAATAACAATTTGTATTGAGTTTTCTCTGATAGGAACAATGTACAAATTCGTAATGAGTCGTCGATACTAACATCTGTCATGTATTATTGGAACTATACATACGAGAATATTTGGACCATTCAAAGTAAGCCATTCATCACAATCAATTAACGGTAAATTCTGCAACCAGCTATCTTACCCTGTTCACTACCTGGGAGAAATCCTGGAAAACTACCTGGGGAAAATCCTGTAAAATTTCCTGGTGGAAATCTTGGAGAACTTCCTGGAGAGAATCCTGGGAAATATCCTGGAGGTAATCCAGTAACACTACCTAGGAAAAATCCTGTAAAATTTCCTGGTGGAAATCGTGGGAAATTTCCTGGACGCAATCCAGTAAAACTACCTGGGGAAAATCCTTCAAAACTACTTGGGGAAAATCCAGTAAAACTACCTGGGAAAAATCCTTTAAAACTACCTGCGGAAAATCCTGGAAAACTACTTGGGGAAAATCCTGGAGAACTTCCTAGAGAGAATCCTGGGAAATTTCCTGGAGGCAATCCAGTAAAACTACCTGGGAAAAATCCTTTAAAACTGCCTGGGGAAATCCTGTAAAACTACCTGGGGAAAATCCTGTAAAATTTCCTGGTGGTAATCCTGGAGAGAATCCTGGGAAATTTCCTGGAGGCAATCCTGTAAAACTACCTGGGAAAAATCCTGTAAAACTTCCTGGAGAGAATCCTGGGAAATTTCCTGGAGGAAATATAGTAAAACTACCTGGGGAAAATCCTGTGAAATTTCCTGGACGAAATCCTGTGTAGAAATCCTGGACAAATTTCTGTCCTGGGGAAAATCTAGGGAAATTCCCTGAAGCACACATATCGCAACATCTTCGGAAGGAAATTCTGTCTCGTTACCCATTTCAAATGGTATCTTCCTCCCGTTCAAAAAACCAAAGTTTCACCGTCAATTTGCATCATCAATTGACAAGTACAAAATATTCATTCCTGTTCGAAAATTTCAAGTGAATCCAAATTTTCCAACAACATTCAAAATTTTTTATGACTTCTAGGTATCACATATTCAGTAATATACAAATTTGTAATTACATGTTTCAATTCGATGATGAATTGCATTACTTTCAAACAATGGTTCACAACGAGGCTATTATATTGAAGTAGCAATGTAGTAGCGATCGGTCCT